GGAGCAGGCAGGAGGCACTGGAGCAGGAGCGGGGCCAGCAGGGCAGAGATGAGTGGACACTCAGGGCAGAGAGAAATGCCGAGAGCCTGGGCCTGCTGGGAAGTCGGGGCGAGCATGGTCTGGGTCCTTTCTAGGCCTGGTCTGAACCCCGGACGGCGCTGGTCCACTTCAACAGCGCTACCACCCTCATCATTCCCATTTGAGAGATGAGGTGACTGAAGCTCAAACAGGACAAACAAGTTGCCGGGACCCCACAGTGCAGGCGCTTCTGTCACTAGGCAGATAGCAGGGTCGGCTGTGGCAGGGGCCGAGGCTGGAGGTGCACATAGGGCCCCCAAGGACCCTGGGCCCCCAACACCCTTCTTCCTTCTGGTTCTGTCACTGCATCCAGCGTGGGAGACTCAAGGCAGGGGTGCCTGTGCCACAGAGCACAGAGCCCCCTGGGGGTCTAGCAAAGCCCAGGGCCCTTTCATAAAATAAACGGCCGCCCGTCAGGAAAGACGCTGACACAGTTATCAGAAGTTTCGAACCCTTTGTGGTAGAGTGACCTCTCGGGATGGCAGTAGGGTGACCTCTCGGGATGGCAGAGATCTCATTATCTTGGTCGTGGTGACGGTTCTGCAGGTGTAGACAACCCTCCACAGCAAATACATTCACCTTATTACATTTCAGTTTTACCTCATGACGCCATAAAAAACAGAAAGGCGAAGCCTGTGGAAAACAAGGCAAGCAAGTGTGGCAGATAGCGGTGTCAGTCTCTGTCATTCGCGCCTGTGACGAGGCCTGGCGGGGGGACCCCCGCCATCCCTTCCACTTAGTGGGGAGCAGAGACAGGATGCCAAGGTTCCTGCAGCAGCTGCCGTGGGACCTGAAGGTCTCTGAGGATTCCACAGTGACAGAGTCAGAGGTCCTTCCAAAACTGCCATTCTTGACGCTGCCCACTTTCGGGCTGGGAGGGAATGCCAGACGACAGTCGGGGGCTAATAACCGTGAAGACAGGTGTCCTCCCAGCCCAGTGTGTGTCCCCTGAGCTGCGTGTTCATCACACACCTCATCTGCTGCCACACGTGGGCCTGAGCACTGCCCGCCCCAGACCGTGGAGTACGTGGCTAAGAGAGTGCCAGACCAGGCAGAGTGGCCGTCACGGCCGCTGCCAGGAGGGCACTTGGCCGGGCGAGAGCTAAGCGGAGCTCCGAGAAGCTGCCCCATCCTGGGAGAGCGTGAAGGCCCTGGCTTAGGGCGGTCCTGGCCCGTTCCCCGCCATGGACAGGAGTTCGTCTCAGAGCGGTCAGGACAAAAGAAGGATGGCACCAGAGTGACCCTGGTTCTGGAGGCTGGGCCCTGGGGGCCTCCACTGAGATGGGGAAACTGAAGCAGGAGCAGGGTTTTTTTTGTCTGTTTGGTTGGTTGGTTGGTTTTTACAGGGAAACAGGCAATGCTACAGAAGGGACTGAGTAGGGGGGTGAGAGGCGCCCCTTGAGCCCGTTCTTGCCCATCTCATGGAACTGGACGGGGGTCCCCACGCCGCCTGTCGGCTGCTGTGTGGCCACAGGTCAGCTCAACCCCTGCCAACCAAGGCTCCCCCACCGTGACCAGAGCGGCAGGAGCTGAGGCCGGGCTGGTCCAGAACCCAGCCCAGGCCCCAGAAGAGGGGTCACAGGGTACAGTGTGGGGCTTGTCCAGGCCCTCCTCCCGAGGACGCCCGTGGTCAGGGCAGACCACGATCATTCCGGCGGTGAGTCCTCTCTCCACCCCACCTCTAGCCGCACGGCAGCCTTGTCTCAGGGGTCCCCTCTGTCCCCTCAGAGGGCCAGAGGGAAGTGGGGGAGCATGGAGAGCCGGAGGACACCCCGTGTCCAATAAGAGTGTAATGTTCTTCCCACAGTTCGGCGCTGGGTGTTGAGCTGACAGCCTTGCCTGAGCGGCCAGCCAGCTTCAGCCCCAACTCTGGAGCTTTTTCCAGGGGAAGAGCCTCTCCCAGCAGTTATTTTGAGGGCAGAGGGACTGCGGGAGGGCCGGGCAGGGCAGATATCCCCATGAACAAGGGTTACCTTGGGCAGTAATGAGCTCCCCGTCCCTGGAGGGGTTCAAAATAAAATTTCACCCCCCAGAGGCAGCGAAGTAGGTGAGTGGAAAGGCTGAAGGCATTGGCCACAGGCAGACCGGGGTTCTAGGCCCAGTGTGGCTAAGTGCTAGCCATGAGGCCTTGAGTATGCTGCCTACCTTCCTGCATAAAGTGCTTGCCAAGATTTGACGTCCACCCACCCCTGGTGGCAGGGCTGGGGTCCTCGAGTGTGTGAGCACCCCCTCCTCACACCACCATCCCAGCCAGACCGCTCACCTCTGCCCCTCTGCTCAGGACCGTCCTGCCCATCCTTCCAGCCCGCCTTCCTCAGGATGCCATCCTGTTTCAGCCCAGACTGCTCTGAGCATCCCGTCAGGGGCAAGGGTCCTGGCAGGTTGGACAGAAAGTGAAGCTGGGCTGGGATCTTCCCAAGTTATGAGTTGTCAGCTAAGGCGGCTGCGGAATGCAGATGCTCCAGGGCCTGCGCTCTGCGCCACCTCCTGTCCAAGGCTGGGAAGGCACCCACTCTAGGCCCCACCCCAAGGAAGTCCTATCCTGGGAGTCTCAGGGAAGAGGTACAGGGCAGCCCCAACTCCCTGGTCAACCTCGGGCAAGCGCCTGGGCCTCCGTTTCCCTAAATAACTGCCTGATACTTCCTGGTCCCTGAATTATTCCCCTGGTGTGCCTGCTTTAACCCGAAGACGGCCCCCTTGCCCTACGTGGCAAAACCAGAGGCCGGGTTTGGGAAGAAGTTACATTTCTTAACCTGGAACTCATTTTATTATTTTTAAAACTGTGTGTATATATTACCCTCCTTCCTGTGTGTGACAGTCTTCAATTTTTTTTTTTTTAAAGAAAAGGAGAGGTGAGCCTCCGTTTTCAGGAAGTGTGCCACCCCTACTTCTGTCTCCTTTCCTCGGTTCCTCGGCTCCGAAGGGGTCACGAGCACAGGGTCCACGTATGGCTGGGATCTCTAGGGCGACTACTGGAGACACTGGGGACACTGGCCAGCATCACCGAAGGTGCCAGGGAGCTTCCATGCTCCTCTCTGAGAATGCAGACCCAGGGGCACTTTGCATGAGTATTTGTAGGGGGAGCCCTGGTGGCACAGCGATTAAGTGCTGGGCTGCTAACCCCCATCAAGCCCACCAGTTGCTCTGCAGGAGAAAGCTGTGGCAGTTGGCTTCCGTAAAGATTACAGCCTCGGAAACCCTATGGGGCAGTTCTACTCTGTCCTGTTGGGTCACTCTGAGTCAGAATTGACTTGACAACAGGTTTGGCAACAGGTTTGGATTTTAGCGTGGGAGACACAGAGCCCTGGTGGCACAGTGGTTAAGCACTCAGCTGCTAACCAAAGGTCGGTGGTTTGAAACCACCAACCGCTCCACGAAAGAAAAATGTGGCAGTCTGATTCTGCAAAGATTTATAGCCTCGGCAGTTCTACCCTGTCCTGTAGGGTTGCTATGAGCTGAAATCAATTCAATGGCAATGAGTTATAGGTTAGAATGGGAGAGAGACCCCTAAACAGACAACCCCACAGCTGTCGATGGAGATGACATCTGAGCTGGGAGTGTGCTGGCCAGGGTGTCCCAGGCGGAGAACGGGGTGGCAGTGGTAGGCAGGGGGAGCTGTGGGCTCTTCCACAGATGACACGTTCTGGGGCTGGAGTGGGCTGTTGTCCATGAGGGTTTGGGTTCTCATTCTCTCAGGAGGAGGGGACCATCAGTGTTTGAGGACAGGAGGGTCACAGGGTCATCGCTGTCTGGGGTGACAGCAGCCTACGCAGGTGTGGCCTCAGGGAAGAGCTCATGAGGCCCGGGCCGCCCCAGCCCAGTGAGCAGGCCATACCCGCCCCATCGCAGGTGGCTGATGTGGGCACTTGGGACAGGAGGCTGTCTGCCAGCCACAGTCACTCTGCACGCCCTGGCCCTGAGCGCCTCTGTCAGGCAGGCCCCTGGACCTGTGCCTGGATGCCACGGAGTGATTGTGCCAGGGCCCGAGTGAAGGACCCACTTTCAGCCACCCACAGCACCTAGGGTACTAGGCTGGAAAGCTCCCCTGCAATTTCACTGAAGCTTCTGGAATGAGGGACACCCCCTGAGGGGGATTCAAAGGCACCTGACGGTGGTGGGAGGGGGTAGCTCTGGGGGAGGGGCGAGTGAGAGGCCAGACTTGCTCTCTCCCCGGCTGACCATCGGTGATACGGCAGGGAGGCCTCCCCGGGAAATGGCTCCTCCACACCTCTCCTTTCCGTCTGTCCCTGTCAAAGGCCACCTCATTAGAGGTCACCCAACCACGCCCCTGCAATCACTCTCCCTCGTGCCACTGGTTTTCCTGCCCTGCTGACCCCGTACTCCTGAACTCGGTAAATCACTTCTTTCTTCCATATACGAATGGTGCTTCCCCAGGTCAGCTCCAGGGGCAAGCGCGTTTGTTCTGGTCCCTGCCAGGCCCTTGGAAGGCCTCCAGTGATGTTCAGGTTTGCAGGAGGAGGACGGCAGGGGCCTGAGAGCTCCCTGGACACCCCCTTTTCTGCGTGTGGCCGCCTGGTGGTGGCCACGGTTTCCCCCCCAATGCCGCGCGCGGGCCGCAGGGAGGTGGCCTCGTTTTCCCGGCGGCGGACTGCACGGGGTGGACTGGATGGGGAGGCCGGGCCCCCGTCCCACCGCTCCAGGTCGCGATTCCATGTCTGTGAGAGGCGGAGCCGGCGCGGCCCCAGCACACCCACTGCCTATCCGATCGCGGGGACGGCTAGAGCAGCGGGACTCGCACGAGCGGAATGGGACTGGGGACAGGACACCGAACCCTCACAGCTCGCCCGTCCGCCCCGTCTTCATTAGAGGCCCGCGCATGCGCGCCCAGAGCGGGGTGGGCGTGGCCTGAACTGTCCCCGCCCCAGTTACCCGGCGTCCCCTGCGGCACCAGGCACTGACGTGGCCGCCGTCAGAGCCGCCATCTTGTGGGAGCGAAACCAACGCCTGGCTCCGAGCAGCAGTAGCAGCCGCAGCAGCAGCCCGGCCGCCGAGGGGTGAGACGGCGGGGGGCGCGGGTGCGGGCAGGCGGCAGGCTAACCGTGGGGCTCGCGCGTGTCTATCGTCCATCGGCGGCGGCGGGACCAGAGGCGGCCGAGGCCGCAGGGCCTGGCGGCCCGGGGCTGGGCCGAGCGGCTCGGGGCGCGGAGGGCTTGGTCGGCGCCTCTCGTGTCCCCCTTGCTGGCCTCTGCCACCCCGAAAGCGCCCGCGCGTTGTCGCCCCACACCCTGGCTGCCTCCCACTCGTCGGCCCCGAAATCCGGAAGTCCGGCCTTCGGTCCTGGCCTCCCCGGCGTGTCGGGCTTTTCCTTTAAAAAGCCTTCTTTTCCTGCTCCTTCTCTCCAGCCCTCGCCGCTTTCGGAGCCGAAAGGTTTGCGTCCCCCTGGGCGCTGGAAGTGCTCGTTCGAGCGGGCCTCGCTCGACGCTGACCGGCGAAGGGAAGGGAAGTGGGAGCCGGCGCGTTTGAGTCATTTTGCCGTGGCAGGGTGGAGGAGGAAGCGGGGTGCTTAGGGCTCGGGGCGGGGTGGTCGCCCAAGGACGGGTGGACGTCTGGCTGGCACCTTCCAGGCGCCTCCGGGTGCCAACCCCGGAAGAGGGGGTTTTATGAAGCTCTCCGCAAGGATCGGGAAACTGAGTCTTGGATCGGCTCCGTGACTCGGTGAAGGTCACAGATGGTTAGGGTTTGAACCGAGGCCTCCTGACTCCAGTTCCCGTTTGCTCAGAAGATGGGGATCGGAGTTGGCCTGGCCGGTGCTGGGGGAGTGGGGGAGCGCTCGGAGCTGCCTGAGGGCAGGGGCCCTGTGCTCTGCCTGTATTGCCGAGATGGATGTTTCGCTTTCAGATGAGGATCTGTAGACCTCTAAGAGAAAGCTGGCGTTCGCTGTGAGATGTGAACGCTTTCATAGAATGCCAAGCTCAAGGAATTGCCTTCTGAATAAATCTGCACTCAAGGCTCCTGTGGCCTTTAGAGGACTGATTTCTCCTTGCTTTAACCTTAGGACTTTTTCCTTGAGTGTCATTGGGAATAGATAAGAATACCTACCTCTTTTCAAGCTGGTGAATTTTTAACCTACCTATAAAACAGTTTGTTCCCAAAATCTAGGTAGTCTCGATAGCAGAGCCGACGTCATGCTTTCTTGTGGCACAGTCCAGGTTGTTACGGCATGTGAAATTGTAATTTTGTTAATAAGGCTTAACAATTATGAAGTACTTAAAATGTTAAGTAGTTAATTCAAGCAGTACCTCCGAGCCCGGTGGCACCCCCCTTCCCCCCATTTCATCAGAAGGAAAAGCAAATTGCTGTTTTAAATGGATTGAGCAGAATTGCACAAGAAATCATGGGCAGAAAATGAGGGAAGTTCAAAAGCTGCTGGGTGGTCCCAGAAGTCACTGTTGAGAGCTGTATAGTTGACGTTACCACTGGTGTGTGGAGTTGTCACTTGTAGTTCTTGTTTCAGACGGAGCGTCAGCAGTTTTTTCTGCTTGCTGTTTGCGCGATTGGTTGTGGTGTTTCCAGCAGTGTGCCGGAGGGAGTGTAAGATCACTCACTGCATTGTGTACTGATCCTGTGGTCTTCTGCCTTGATGTGTTCCACTGTTTAACAAAGTGTTCCTGCTCTGTGGTGTTGTCACCAGCAGCCATATTGTTCCGAAGTGTATTATCTTGTCCGCACTAAGATTTTCTGGTGATCTCGTGGGAGAGGTCCTCAGTCCTGGGTGTGCCACATTGTAGAGTTTTACTGGTCTTCATGAGCGTCGTGTTGAAAAGTATCATGTCAGCGTTAGAGATATGCTTCTTGTGTGGGATGTCTTCAGATATTCAGAATTGCCACTCCAGAGAGATTTAAAATCGTTGGTTTGGTTAATAGCTGGCTTGACTTACACTCTCCATTCATCAGTGAAGGAAGATTAGGAGAAGGCAGAAGCTGGTTCTCTCCTCTGTACAGTTCTGGCTTTCAGAAATCACGAGGTTTAGCTGTTCTCTTTGCCTCTTGCACAATATGAGGAGGACGTTCGGACATCTCCAACTGCTGATCTGTCTCTACCTAAAACCAGACAGGCTTGCAACTAAACAGAGGTACGTTCTGGCTTTTCTTTTTCACTTTAGTAAAATTTATGTGGACCGTCAACTGCTGAGGTGGTCTCCAGAGTCAAATCGCCATAGGAGTAAACCCAACCAAGGGAAGAAAACTCTGTTGTGCAGTTCTTAAAATAGTATAGTAATTTGACTTGAGCGTTTAATCAGTTTTTTCAGATTTTTCTAATTAAATTTTACCTTGATATATCTGGATTTAAGATCTGTTCTTAATCACAGATCAGGCTCTTCACACTTTCTTACACACACCTTCTGAGAGTTGTCATCGTTCTAGTTTACGAATGATCAGACCTCAGCCGTTCTGAATTTGCCAAGCTTTTCACAAGACTGTCCCTGTCCACACTGTCCCTGATAGGTATTCCCCCTTCGACCCTTTCAACCTTCATAACCTTGTTAGTAGAAATGAGACGAAATAAAAATGCAGGTCTGTTAGAGGTAGTTGGGAGAGAAACAGACATTTCTTTTGGTTGGGGTTTTAAATTTTTGTGTGCTGTATCTGCTGCTCGTTGGCAGAGGCGGTTGTTAAAGACGTATTCTTAGCATCATCTGAAATAGGCTTTTGGAAAAGACTGGACCTAACTGTGGGTTGGGTCTAACCCTACCTACCGGGGTAAAGGACGGTGGGAAAGAAAGACAAGAAGATGGAAATTCTAGGTCACGTGGATACCCTTACCATCATGTTTCCATCCTCAGCTTTACACCCTCTTGTGATTGTCATAAAAAAACAAAACAAAACCCGCTGCAGTGGAGTCAATTCTGACTCATAGCGACCCTACAGGACAGACGAAAACTGCCCCATAGAGATTCCAAGAAGCACCTGGTGGATTCAAACTGCCGACCTTTTGGTTAGCAAACGTAGCTCTTAACCACTATGCCGCCAGGGTTTCATAAGCTCTTTAAAGTGTAGTTGCACCTCATCTGCAGCGATTCAGCGGTATCGCTATTCTGGGAGGTAGTTTGGCGCTCTCAGGTGGGTCAAATGGCCTCATTAGCAGGAAAAGAATTGCAGAATTTAACACAGAATCAACAAGACTCTTTATTCCCAGGAGAATCTTTTAGGCCCTCGCCCACAGAGTCCTGTCACAGCAGCTTCCCTGCAGGAGTTGGAAAGAATGGTGGAGGCTGACTGAGTTAGGAACTCACCTCCAGAATAGCCCTTGTTCCCTGGTTTTTACACACAGTGATAACGAGCACTTAGCAGTCTGTCCTCAGTGAATGGAAGGGGAAGAGTGGAGCCCCTGATGGTCCCTGACCCTAGCAGGGGGCGTGGTTTAAGTGACAGTGAGGGAGGAGACAGGAAAAAGCATAAAGCGAGGCAAATTTCAAAAACATCGCATTGGGAGCTATTCAGTGGAGGAGGCAGACTTCTTTATACACCTCCGAGGCCCAAAGGCTCGCTGTTGCTGTGTAGCATAAATTAATTAGACTTGATTATGATCTTTGCCCATCTTAAGGATGTAGAAGGGTGTATTTTGGAAACAAGTTTTACTTCTAAAAAGGATGCTAGCAAGTTAGAAGGATTCATTTCTAAAGGGCTTCAAGGGGTAGTATTTGACTTTATGGAAAACAATGGGTGTCTTTTTTTCTCATACGTTGAATTACTTTTGCACTACTGCATGTGGAAGCCGAACAGGAGACTTAGTGGTTCTGATCCTCTAAGATACCGAGGATGTTTAACGGGAAGATTTTGAAGTATCTTATCAGTTTGACCTGGAGTCCCTGGGTGGTCCAGATGGTTAATGAACTCAGCTACTAACTGAAAGGTTGGAAATTTGAGTCCATCCAGAGGTGCCTCAGAAGAAAGGCCTGATGATCTGAACAATCAGACGTTTAAAACCCTGTGGCGCGCAGCTGTACTCTGACGCACATGGTTGACAACTGGCAGGTTATTGGTTTGATTTAGGTACAAATAGCCAAGAAAACAATTTCTAAATTCTGTTTAGAGTCCTTCGTGAAGAGTAGGAATGAAGGTAGAGTTAGAAGTGTGCCAGCATTTTGATCGTGGGACTCAGGACAAAGGGTATTCTTTTAAAGGATGCTCTCAACAGTGTGTGTTCCTGTAAAGGAGTGGCTGTCTGCTTTCTGTATAGATCAGAATGTAGTTCTTAAGTAACTGATTGAATCCATTAATTTATATTTAAAATATATCTTTTGGCAAACTAATTATAGCTTTTAGCATTTCTCTTCTGTCAGGGTGATAGAAGATCTTGAAAATTACTGGGAAGATTAAGTGAAAATGAAATGAAGCTATCCAAAGGCAAATTTAGAAAGCAAATTTTGGATGCACACGTGTCCCTCCCATGGTATTTTTATATTGCTGAGATGCCACACTTTGCCTTGAGAAGTTAACAGTATCTCTGACACTCCTGATTCCTTCGTTGTTACGTTCAAAGGAATGTTCATACTGGACCACCTTTAAAACAGCGTGAAATTCATTGGTGGCTTGGTGGGTTTCTGCTGACAAACCGCTTTTCAGGGAAGGCATATTGTAGATGTGTGATTAGTCTTTTTGACCCTTAAGGGCCCTAATAAATGTTCTTTTACAGTTACTTTCACCTCTTCCTAGTGCCAGCTGGAAACTGGTAGAGGTGGGGAGGAGGAAGTGTTCTGCGCAGAAGATACATCATTCATAGAGTACTGTCCTGGTGGAGCATCTGTCCTCACCAGGAAGGCAGACAGACAGTAAACAAATAAAATATGTGGATGTTAGGTACAGCGGAGGCCTGTCAGAGCCAGGCAGGGCGGGCTGGGGGAGTAATCAGGGGAGCGTAGGAGGGACTGTTGTAAATGGGTTGTTCAGGGAAGCACCTCCCTGACAGGTAACATTTGGGCAGAGATGTAAAGGAGTGAGGCATCTGTGAGAAACGGGAAGCTTCTTACAGGCAAGGAGAATCAAAACCAAA